CGATATGCTTGTAATACACCCGAAATAGATTCCACACTCGAAATAGATTATGCAACGATTATCCCAATGTAGATCCATATACTTTTTTCCTCTTTGTCTCTCGGAAAAAAGATATACATGTTACCAATATATGCTGTCTACCTTTTTCTGGCTTCGAGCAGTTACTGCAAGAAGGCGGGATTTCACATGTCAAAAATAGATCATACTATATTCACAGTACACAAGTGATTTATACATAAATATCGCACATAAATATCACCACAAATAAATTCTTTAGAATCAACTATAAACTATTGCAAAGCAAGCCATTAGGTGATTCTTCGAATCATGATCCTTCGGGTCTACAATTCTCGCTACAACCCAGACCCAAAGGGGTGAATCTTTAGATTCATGTGCATCTTTCCCATTCTCATCGTATACGTCACTCGCAAAATATGACGATTATACACAACTCATCTAATAACCCAATCTGTACTAAAAATGAATCGGGTTTTAATCATATATATTGTACCAAATCTAATAAGTCAAAAACGCTAAAACAACTAAATATATTATTCTCTATAATCGATAAATATGTCTGATTTTAATATTGTAACTATTCTCGATAAGAAAGATAGAAGATTACCCAAACCCTTTAACATTTGTCCTGGATATGATATGAAATATGTCATGTCATATATTGGAAATTATTTTGCTTTTGATGGAAAATGATATGATGAACTCTTCGATAATGAGAGATTATTTGACACCTTATCTACCATAAAACAGAACGAAACACCTGTTCAATGGACAATACGGGTCAGAGTACCTTTACAGAATTTATTAAACGCTGGAAAATTTAGTGTATATCACCGGTTATGTTTATTCACATCATTTGGTAAAGATAAATTTGTCAATTTCGATTATTACAGACCAAGGATTCATAAAAGTCATATGGCTATTTGTTTTGGTTGCTGGAAACTCGTAAGAAAAAATTCCATTTTACTAAAAATAGGTATGTTGAAATTATTGAGCCAGATGATTTGATGCAGAAATATTGGGATCACGAGTGTGATAAATCTAAATCTCGAGATAGATATGCGAGAATTATACAAATCGCTTATCGAAATTATCAGCAAAAGCCTGAATCAGAATCCAATAGAATCTGAGAAGCAGTCAGAAATGATGATACTTCTGAGAACAAGAAGTTTTTAGGTATAACTTCTCAAAAAATAAGAGTTCCTGAAACTTCTTATGTTGGCTATGGTGAAAGAATGATTCTAGCTAAAGATGTACCAGCATATGCTCGAAATTTACTTGAAATATTTTATCGTTATAGTCCTAAAAGTTGGGCAGATGCTAAGAAATATCAATTACGAGATAGATTATATAATCACGTTTTAAATTTATTAGGACAACAAGGATACAGAGTAATCAATAGTAAGTAATAGTATGTAATGTTAAAGTGGATACAAAATTCTGAATTATATATTAATAATAAATACTCACCATTTGTTAGAATTGAATAAATTATTATGGGCAGTTCGAGAAGAGATGCGTCAAATTAACAATGCATAATACACATATCTATTTATTTGATTAATATATCTATTATTTATATAACTTATTCATATATATATCTTTAAAATAAAATCATCTGAGGTATCCCTGAGGGCTGGTACTTTAGACTTTATTTCATTATCCCTGAGGGCTGGTAACATTTTTTTCACTTTGATTTTTATATACAGTTATTTTACCTGACACAAAAAATTCCCTTGATACAAATAAACTACAGAATTTATTTATTTTTTCAACATCTACTCCAACTTCAATCAGGCTGGATACTGATAGCTAT